GCCTGGCAATGCTGACCAGTACTATATCTTCCACAGCCTTTCCCGTGGCCTGTTTTACACCTTGCTGGATATGTCGCTCAATAACGGTCAGGGGGGCATCGTGCAAAAGAATGTGCAGATCAGCGGATTCGGGACGGTTGTTCCGGGACGCATGGTGTCGGTCAAAGGCTGTGGGGGAATCTGGTTGGTGGTACGTTCATTCACCGGTAACCAATATTTCAGTTATCTGGTCAGCTCGTCTGGAGTGGACCCAACGCCGGTAACTTCGGAGATAGGCCTTTTCACCAGCCTGTTCGGTCCTACCGAATATGCAAATGGCACAAACGCCTGCCTAAAGGCCTCCCCGGATGGGACCAAAATTGCAACTTACAGCCTTCACTTTTTTGGACTGGAAATCTATGATTTTGAAAAGTGCTCCGGTAAAGTGAGCAACCCAAGGTTGATCGATACATTGGACAATCCAGGGGCTTCGGACACTGGGTATAGGCAGGCGTATACGGGAATGGCCTTTTCCGAAAATAGCCGATTCCTTTATGTGGCAAAACATAGAAAATATACAACGGATTCTGTGTCCCTGACTACAGGTATATATTTGGGGCAAAGGGGCGTTATCGACCAATATGATCTCAATGGGAACTCGGCAAATATCATTATTCCATCCCGCACCAGGGTATTGGAAAACCCATATATCCTGCTCTATGACTTTTTTTGGGGATGTGGAGTACATCTAAGTCCAGAATTCAAGGATATAAAAAGGGGGCCGGACGGCAGAATCTATGTCCATAATAACGTACCAAGGGCTACCTGTAGCCCAGGCTATTCACCTACGTATAGCAATGATGCAGCATGGCATGTGATTGCCCAGCCCAATAACCAAGGATTGGCATGTCAGCCCCAGTATAATGTATTGGCATCACCGTTTCCGTCCACCGATGTTCACCATACACTGGCGCCTGATGTGGTCATTGCCCCCGATAGGATCGATACAATTGTTGGCAATTCAACCGTAAGCATCATTTGCTTTAAAGATAGTGCGCTGATAAATGCCCCTTCCCATGCGCAATGTCTGAACTGGTTTGATGCCACGAGCGATCAGAAAAAAGCTGTCGGGGTAAGCGGCAAATATACCTTGGGGTATTACCGAGATGATTGCAGTTACAGGATCGATACCTATCAGGTCAACTTTGTGAAGATGCCAAAACTGACCGATAGCTTATATAGCTGTCCCGGAGCTTTTAACGGCAGGGCAATGCTGTCCAATACGCTGGGTGACACGGCTACCTTCAGTTACCAGTGGCTGAACCGAAATGGCTATGTCCTGCGCAACAGCCGGGGCAGTCTCGGGGATACCGTGAGCACCTTGGATACCGGCTTAAACTACGTTCGTGTCACTACAGGTGCTGGTTGTGATACCGTGCTTTTCGTGTACGTCCGCCCTTTGCCAATACCCATGGCCGCATTTACCTATGATACGGTTACCTGCATCGGTCAAGCTATACAGTTCAGAAGTACCTCAGCTTCGCCGGTAGCGACTTGGTTTTTCGACAATAGCCAATCTGACATCAATAGTCAGCAGGCGTATTTCACTTTTGATAGGCCTGGACCACACCAAGTTGTTTTAGTCGCTGGGAACATTGAGGGTTGCAGGGATACCGCAGTGATGTTTCTAAACATCAAGGATTTTGAACTCAACCTTACGGCCAATCCAACCACCGTCAATATTGGAGAAGAAATTGAACTATCGACAACTGGCAGCACCCCCTATCGGGTATTGTCATGGCTGCCCGGTCACTTATTCAGTGATCAGCAACGAACTCAACAACGGACCAATATCAGCAGCGCAACTTCTTTTGGCGTCATCGCACTGTCCGTAGAAGGATGCATGGATACGGCATGGACTGAGGTTGGCCTTAATCCAGTGGTGTTTATACCCAATGCATTCACACCCAATGCCGATGGAAAGAACGATGTATTTCGTGTTGCCACTGCCGGTGCTGCTGTAAGTGTAAAAGTCATGAACATTTATAACCGTTGGGGGCAGCGGATTTACACCGGATATAACCGCACCGCTTCAGCAGGATGGGACGGCACCTTTAATACCAAGCCATGCGAACCGGGAACCTACTTCTACACGATAACTATTGAAACCGAAACAGGATCAGTTCAACACTACAAAGGGGATGTTGCCCTGATTAGGTAACATCCCCTTAAAAAGTTGGGGTTGGACAATCAACCTAGCGGCCGTTTCTACGGTCGCTTTTTAATTGCAGTAAGCCGTGGTGATCG